ACTTCTCCACCATCGTGTCGGCCGTCGAGGAGGGCAGGGCCATTTACAACAACATGAAGCAATTCATCCGCTACCTCATCTCCTCCAACGTCGGGGAGGTCGTTTGGTGAGAGCCCCCCAACACTGGGCACGGCGGGGCAGGGGGGGGGGATGTGTCTGCTTGGCCAGGTGACCCCCGGTCCTGTCCATGGCCCTCGCCCCTGATGGCATGCAGTGCCCAAAATTGTAACCCCAGGTATCAAACGGAGCAGCTATGCCTTGTCTCATTGCTCAGGGATAGTGGGTTTGATTTTATTTTGGTAGTTCTATAAACGTGCCACCCCCAGGAGCTGTTTTGTTAACGCATTGCCCGTTTAAGCCCATGCCAGCCTCTAAGACTGGTGTGGATATTTGTGCCCAGGCTGTTGTCACCAGGTCACACTGATGCCTTTCGCTCTCCCTGTCCCTGCCTGTCCCTCAGCACCTTCCTCGGGGCTGTGGGCACAGCTTTGGGGTCCCTTGGGCATCCCCTGTCCTTGTGTTTAAGCAGGGGGGTTTGTTCTGGGCACCTGTGTGGCCATGGGGACATCAATGGGTGGGTTTGGACTGCAAAGCAATTTTAATAATGGTAAGGAGCAAGCGTTAGCTGCAAAATTGAGCCCTGGACTTCAGGTTTGTGACTCGGGGGGTGTGGGTTCACCTGCAGGACTTTGGGTGAATATTCAGTTTGGGGGATTTGGATCCAGGGTAGCTGCTCACTCTCCCTGTGCACGACAGAGACACTTTCTCTGGCTGTCCTGGGGCTCAGCTAATTCAGCATCTCTTTTTTAATTTATTATTTATTTTTTTATTTATTATTTTTCCCTGCAGCATCTTCCTGACGGCCATCCTGGGCTTGCCTGAGGCCCTCATCCCCGTGCAGCTGCTGTGGGTGAACCTGGTGACGGACGGGCTGCCGGCCACCGCGCTGGGCTTCAACCCCCCTGACCTGGACATCATGGACAAGCTGCCCCGTAACCCCAAGGAGCCCCTCATCAGCGGCTGGC